AGGGATTAAATTGCTTTTCCTAGGAAGACCGGTGCCACATAATTAATCGGTCATTGAATTTGAATAACCCGGGCCATTCTGTAAAGGCAGAGGCGGGTTGTTTGTTTTGGGTTGTGTTGGGTTTTGTTTTTCCAGAAAAGCTATTGAAAATCTAAGTGAATTAATGATGCTGAACAGTCGAGTTTGTTTACTCCAAGGGGCAACTGGATATGGCCTATTTGGTCAGTTCTAATTTGGTATCTATCATTTGACAGTGTTCAGCTTTTCTGAAGCTTAAACCAAATAAAATGCACCTTAAAACATGAGGGATGGCCTTTGAACAACTTTGTACAGAGCTCTATGAGAAAAGATGGTGAATTTCCATAGCATGTGATAGAAAACATGAATTGATTTTGCCCTTTTATTTAGACTAACAAACAAAATTTGACTATGGAAATTAAAAGGGAGATTTGCTACAAGGGCTTTTGAAGTTCTTGTGGGGCGAAACCAGACAGTGCTAATAACAAAGCACTGCAAGAGAAAGGTCTTAATTATTTGCGTGCACATGCCGGATTTCCGACGCCGCCTCGGGCTTGTTGGCTATGGATGAGCCCAAATGGGAGAGGGTTTTTGCAGAGGGAGAAGAGGAGAATTGCCCGAGCCCTGTGTGCGAGACCCAGCTCCGCTGCTGCAGCCCCGCGCGGGCGTCGCGGGACACGCGGCCCCGCCGTCCCGTGCCAAGGGGAACGCTCCTACGGAGAGGGAAAAAGCGCCGTGAACTCTGAGTGAACCGCCCGAGCGGCACAGCTCTCCTATAGGATAATCTATAGGCTGCTCCGGAGCTGGAGCAATACCACCTGGCGCTCATTAACCACCGCAGAAATATGTTAAATTGTTTTGGAAAAGGGCTGCATAGCATGAATGGGCAAAGCCGGCGAGTTCATTAATATCTCTCCCGTCACTATTAATGGCCTAATCCTGTTTACATTAAATTCAGCGCCAAAGCTCTCGTTTGTGGGGCAAGGCTCAAATCCGATATTAGTTAATACAACAAGATCTCATTTTTAGCATATTGCGTTTTTGGTGCTCCTCTCTTTTCCAGCCTCCCTTTGGGCTGAACCTGGGCATTTGGCGAGTTCCTGTTTAATCCAGCATGTCAAATGTGCCGGGTGATGTGCGGTGCGACCTGTCACGAGGAGCCCTGCAGCTCAGAGGGCGAAGGCATGAGCAGATTGAAGACACAATGATGTAGATTGATGTATGGTTTTATTAAAGCACAGTTTGTTACATGAGGGACAAGCGCTTCAGCCCACTCCACAACAGTAACGTCTTTGGCATTGTTCGATACTGTGCTAACGCCTGCCATGTCTGCACGTTCTGCCAGCAAAAGAGGGGTTTTGTTGTCAAGGGTATTGAGAAAAAAAAGTGTTGAACTAATCCTTGCAGGAGAGTAGAAAAGAACTTAAAATGCAGTCTTGGATTTACAGATATCCTTTGTGCCAAGTAGATGCTGAGATGTCGCTAAGCTCAGCCCAAGCATGCTTGGTTAATTGGGGAGAAATCATTTTGGTAATCAGGGGGTTCTGGCCATCTGCTTTGGCCTCTCCCCGGTTGTTCCTTGCAGCAGCCTCCTCTCGCAGCCAGAGCCGTGATCCCAACCCTTCGGAAAGGGCCCCTTTGCAGCCCTGTTTGCCGCAAAATTCTACTAACTAACTGACCCGTTGCGATTTTTCCAACCCGGATGTTTTGTTGATGTGGTAAACGGTGTGTGTTTCTGCGGGAGTGACCTCGAGGTGAGCTGTCAGGGGCTTGGTCCTTTAAAAACACTGCGGTGGTGCTGATGATCTACCTCGTCTCGAGACTGGCCCCGTTTCCTAGGCTTAGCGAAGAGCCGCAGGGCTGCCTTGGTTCGGGGTAAGGCAGAGCGAACGGGGTTTGTTCCTCCTTTAAAACGTGATGAGATGCCTTTTGCAGACCCAAGGGACCCTTAGGAGCTTTATTGTTTCTCATATGCCCCATTAGACACGTGTTTCTTAAAGTGCATTAGTGTGTTCAGCTCTGCTGGCCGTTGTCATTTCCCTCGTCCCTTTGGCATCGCCAGCCCTTGGGTGTCAGCGGTAGCGTCTTGGGCTTTGCTTTCCCTTTTCCTGCCCAGAGCTGCTCTGGGATCCTGCCTGGCACCTTTCTGCTCTGGGGACAAAACGCGGCCCCAGAGGTGACCCCCGTTGCTGTTGTTACTTGGGCTCCCGCAGGAGCTGAGTTCATCCATGGGCTGATGCCCTCGTCCTGCTTTTTCCTGGAGCCAGAGCCCTTGCAGTGGCCCCAGGGCACCCAAACGTTTATTTTGGAAAGAATTTAATCGCTCCTCAGCCTGCATGGAGCCGCTTGTCTGAAGCTGGGCTGTCACCTGGGGGGTGATGTCTGTGCAGGAGATTTGAATAAAAGCCACTGAAGCAACTGGGCCTGTATCAGGTGTTCATACAAGCCCTACAAAAAATGCGAGACTTTGTGGAAAATCAAACTGGAAAGGGAAGCAATACTTGGCATGGGTACTTGGGCAATAGTTGGTGCAATACTTGTAATAAGAATAATCTTGAAAATGCATCTTGTTGAGGATTAAATTGTATCGAGGGAAGGCCGTGTGAGCGGGGATACATTGCATGTCCCGCAGACCTGGGCTTTTACCTCAATGAACTTTGGGCTTTGCAATTAGCAGCAAGGAGATTAGATCGTCCCCGTTTAGGCGGGCGACCTGTGCACTGACTGTGTTTGCGTGTGTCGTTCCTCTTGCTCAATGTCATCGAGCAGGGCGCGAGACCCTCTGTGATGGCCCCGGCAGGGCTCTCTGAGAGCCCATCCCAGCGGCTGCTCCGGCGGGGAAATCCTTGTTGCGATTCCCATTTGGCTTTGGGCAGCGGTCACGCCGCAGCTTTGGGGGCTGTTTTTGAGCTTAGGAAGGCACAAATGAGCCCCTGTTTTGTGGTTTGAGTATCTGAGCTGTCTGAGGGATGGGTTATTTGCCTTTGCTTTCTCCTCCCTGCAAGGAGCGACGTGGCGTTGGGCACTACGAGGTGAGGGATCACCCCGGCGAGCAGCAGACGTGGCCACGGAGCAGCAAGTGGAGAGCCGTGATGCCGGGAATGGGGGAACACAGGGCTTGGGAGGAAGCTGGAGTTGGGATATGGGCAGCAACGTAACATAAACATCTCAGATGATAGTGGTGTGAAATGGGGCAGCCCCCGTGCCCAAAACAGAGGGACATTTTGCTTCCCGTGGATGGAGCCGAAGGGCCCTGAGCGGGACTGGGATGTGGAAGAGGAACCATGGAGACGTCCTCAAACCAGGAATTCCTTCATGGTGAGTATTTACAACTGGGATTTTTTCTTCGGTTTGGAAGAGAAAGCTCCCGAAGGCAACGGGCCAGGCCGGGCACCTGCCCTGCTCGTCCGGCCGGAGCCCAGCGCCGCGTGTCCGCACGGAGGCCGGCGGGGAGACCCCTCCGGAGCTCGGGAGAGGGCCATGGGCAAGGGCCGGGTCAGAGTGCTCACAAATAACCTTTGTCTTTGACAAGTCGCCTTCCGGAGACCCGAGCGTTTGATTTCGGCCCGGCCTTTGCTTGAGAAGCTCCCGTCCCACTTCCCGAGGCTCTGACATGCCTTTGTCTGCGGAGCAGGTGACAACTCGGGGACATGTGGCCGCCCTAACGAGACCTGACAAAGGAGCAATTGTGAATCGAATGGTTCATTTCCATCGCGCCGGGGCAGGGCAGAGGGCAGGCAGGAGTAATCCCGCCGCAGCGCCGAGTGCCGACGGGGCTGGAAGGCCGGAGTTAACCGGGATTTCTGTGTCAGCGCCCAGGACCTTTCCCGAACAGCCTGCATGATCTAAACACATGTGACCGTTCCCGAGCTCGAGGCGCTCCTGTGAGCCAGGGATGCAGGGACGAGCGGGGTTAATCCCGGAGCAAGGTGTCCTGCCTAGCGCGGAGCGGCCGCCGCTCCGACATGTCTGCTCAGAAAGGCAGGTCTGTGCCACGCTGGGCTTTTGGGGCTGGAAAACCATACAGTAAGGTGGGCTGGTTTGGGAAGGAAAGTCTTGGGATCCCTAACGAAGCTTTCCAGGGCTTGTGGAGCTTATGAAGAGAAGCCATCTTTCTAGAAAATACCATTTTTGGAGGGGAGAAGGCACAGCTGACAGCTGTTCTGGCAAAAGTCTGTGATTTTTAAATTGTCTTTTGCATCTCTGACAATTCTTAAGCCTTTGCTTCGAACACAGCCGATTTTGAACGCACAAATTGCAGCTCTTTATGTGCTTGCAGAAAGCACCGGGGTCACTTCTCCCTCGGTGCCGCTGGGAGAGGTTTGTTTGATTTCCTTGTTTTCCTTCCTTTCCACTTCCAGACGGGATTGCTTTGTCCCTGCCCGCGCGTGCGGCGAGCCCGTGCGGCCGGCGCTGCCCTGGCTCCCTCCCAGCACCGCGGTTATCGCTGCCTTCATGGATCTCGTGGCGCTTTAGGAAAAGGGCAGCTCTCAGATAAGAGCCGGCGGCGGGACAAGCACCTAGAGCAGAAAGGGGAGGCTGCAGCACAGCCTGGGAGATGTGGCCCGCGCAGAAATGGGTATTAATGTATGGAGGAATCGTGGTCACCTTCTGCAGGTGCTGCCGTCCCTTGTCAGTCTGTGTGTGAGAAAACCCTGCGCAGGGGTGATGTACGAGTGCCCCGGCTGAGCTTCATAAGAGCCGGCGGCGGGACAAGCACCTAGAGCAGAAAGGGGAGGCTGCAGCACAGCCTGGGAGATGTGGCCCGCGCAGAAATGGGTATTAATGTATGGAGGAATCGTGGTCACCTTCTGCAGGTGCTGCCGTCCCTTGTCAGTCTGTGTGTGAGAAAACCCTGCGCAGGGGTGATGTACGAGTGCCCCGGCTGAGCTTCGCTCACCTCCCTCGCGTGTCGTTGCAGGGTGTTTTCCCTCGGGACGTGGAGCTCCGCCGGGCCCGCGGCGGCCGCATGAGCGCGCGCGATGGACGCGGAGTGTCGTGGGGCCATTGAGGAGCGGGCACGAAGGCCCATGGGCCGCGGTTAAACCGAGGGTGGCCGCAGCGTGGGCAGGGGACTAAGGCCACGAGGGAAGAGGCCTCGCAGAGCTGGGCCTGCAGCTCTGCCCCTTGAGGTGTCCCACAGGTCGGCTGGGGAGGCTGTAGGCCCTGCAAGACGCCAGCATTTGTGTTTATGTAAAATGATTCCGTACGGACGTGCTTCGATGCAGGGAAAAGAACTGCTGAAGAAGCATTTGGGGGCTCCTCGCTCTAATCTGGGTGGCCTGAATAGATGGAGCTGTCGGTTCCTCTGTCCTGAGGTATTGGGTGTTAGGCAGACCTGCACGGTGTGAGTAAAACCCTGAGCCCCGGAAAAGAAACAGCCCTGTTGAAAGGACTGGAGAACTTCCTCTCTCTACGTCAGATCTAGTCTCCTGGTTGTAGCTGCTCCCTGGGTATTAGCGTTTCTCCCAGTATTAGTCCCGCGCAGTCTATCTGGGGAGAGCCTCACCGAAAATCTTCTTAAATCTGCTGCTCAAACCACTACCCTTTCTTTAAGGTTATGTGCTTTATGGAGAAGAAAAACAATATAGGGCTAGATTCAAAGCTTTACTTAGAGAGCGCTATGGAGTGACTGGACTATTAGTTTGTATAAAGTTTCTTTCTTAAGTTGAGCAGCTGTTTCAAAGATAATTTTAGAACATCTGGAAACAGACATTCAGAAAGAAGCCCCCATTGGGTGGCTGCAGAAGAGCCCTGTCTCCGAGCAGAACACCATTTAGCACTGTTATTGAACTACATTAAAGTATGAAATTTTGTGCTATTAGTAGCCAGTTATCTTAGTTCACTGAGTATAAAACACCTAGATGTTGTTATTGATATTGTAACGTTACATTATGATATATGAGACAATATATGTTTTGTTTTGTTTGTTGATTTGTTCGTTTCTGCACCTGGGAAGCCTGAATTTTTTCATCTCCATTTTTTTTCTGGTCTTTCCCCTTAGCATAACTAGAGCTAGGCCAGGTTTAGACTATGATCTGTTGTCAAGTTTAACCACTTACATTATTCACGTTGTTGTGCCAGACAGACTCTACTCTGGGGCCTGAGCAGAGTCTGCACCAAGTGGCCAGGCTAAAAAATATTGCTACGTCCACTCAAAAGCAGAGTAAGGTGGTCCCTAACCAAGTGCTGTTTCTTGCTTCCAGCCACGCCGTATCCGCATGGATTTAAGTGTTTCACCTGCGAAAGGGCAGCCGATAATTACGAGTGCAACCGCTGGGCTCCGGACGTCTATTGTCCAAGAGGTAACGGGCGGCGCGTTAGCGTTTGGGTTCAACCTGCCTCGGGACAAGGCGGCCGCAGCGGCGCCCGGCTCCCGTTTTGCCCTCGGAGCTGGCGAGCGCCGTCCACGTTCGTGAGCCTCCCCAGCAAGGAGGATGTGGCAGTGATACAAGTAATCCCTTGAGCATCTCTGCTGTGGATGTGGTTTCGAGCCCCTTGTCCTCCACGTAGCTACACTGCAGGTAGCTCAGTGGGACATTAAACCAGTCTGATGTTTATTTGAAGTCTGTATTTCTTACTGGTGAGTCCTGGGGCAGTTCCCCCTCATTACAGCACATGGCCATGCTCCAGCGACCCAAGTCAGTGCTATTGAAATTACTTCTTTTCAGCCAGCATCTCTATCTGTTCAGTCATTTCGCTTCGTACCTGAGCAGATCCTCAAGGAGGGGGTGGCTGAAAAGGGGTTTAGGTGCCTGTATCCAACAGCTGGATTCCAGCAAGATCCTCACATCTCCCGGTCCCTTGACATCTGTGTCACAGAGAAACACAAGGCATTTGGATCGTCTTTCCTCTGAGTTTCGCTTAAACGTCTAAAAAGCCAAATGCCCACTATGGACATAGTTAATTGGGTTCTGTTGCATTCGAGTTCTTTGTAAGGATCTATCCTCCATAGTTTCCTGCCTGTGCAGTGTTCGTTTCTTTTCATTCACTGTCTTGCTCTGTGTGCCTGTCCCAGTCACCAGCTGCGACCAATATTCACACACCCTCCCTCTTTTAACAGGAATAAAAGGTGTTTAAATCATAATGATGATGTTACTGGCTAGCAGCAGTTTGTGGATTGCTATTTAAGGAGACAAGAGTAACCACAAGGTCTGCATTTAGTAATAATGAACCAAATTGACTAAACGAGACAATGTTAATCATCTGGAAAGAGAATTAGCACTTAGTGACTGTCCAGGGAAGGGGAATATCACCACTGGGCAAGTCTCTTATTCATTAGCTGTGATCACACAGAGCAGAGCCACTAGTTACTGTCACTAGCTTTGACTGTAGATACCAATTAAGAACAAATGCTTTAATTTCCCTTACTAGAGATTCCAAAAAAGTAGGATTTTAGAGGCAAGAATGGGCTAGTTGGAAAGCTGAGTCTATCTTTAATCTTGGTACCAAGGGACTGTTTATCTCCTGACACGGGTGGCATCAATCCGGGCACCGGGTGTTCCCGGGATGCGGCCGTGGCCCGAGCGCCATCCAGCTCCCGGCTGACCTGAACCAGGGGATTTGCAGCAGCTGTGAAGGAAGGTGCAGGTCACAGAGGCATTTGGAGCATGTGTGCTGTAGGATTTTACTGAACGGAGTGGAAAATCATGTTCCTTACAAATGGTTTTAGATGGAGGGACATTTGTTGGTCCTAATGTTGGCTGTGGTAATTAAGGAGCAACTGCTGAGACAGATCTACTGTTTTAGATGACTGGGGAGTTGGGAAGAGGGAACTGGGGATGCCACAAAACTGAGAACTTTTGATTTTACATCTTAGCTTTACCAGCTAATATAACGGAATGTAAGAAAGTTGTTTATTAAGACTTTTTTTTCTATGTTGGTTTAAGTTTCCAAAGTATTTTCAAGTAGGGAGGCCTCATAAACAGGACCCCGAGCAGCAGGACAAGGGCAGGAGGGCTGGGGGGAAGTCACAGTGCTGCTCCCAAAATCTCATCCTCACATTTGCTAGAGGTTTTTGGTTTTGTTTTGTTTTTTAAACCAGAAGGCTAGTAAAGAGACAGAAAGCAAAGCATGCCCGTAAACTAAGAAAGTAGGACTTACTGAAAAGGACCACATTTGGTTGGATAACACACTTTACTAAAAGGAGAGCTGAAACACGAACGCCTGCACCGAACAGAGTTGGGAAAAGGCACGTCCTAGCAGGCAGACTGCCCCCTGTGCACAAGGCCTGTTTATTTATCACATTCCTCCCGAGCAGGGACTGTTGGTGACCTCCTTTGCACGGAAACACGGCACGTCCAATCCTCCCCTCGGCCCCTTCGGGTGCCCGGCCGGGGCTCGCGGGGTCCCCTCGCGCCTCGGCCCGCGGCTCTGGGCCCTCCAATGCCACAACGAGGGTTTCAGTACCTGGTGCAAGGCAGAGACAGCAAGTTCCTCCTGCTGGATCCTTACCAGCTGCATCTGCTTTACTTAATGGTAACCGTGTCCTGCTCCTGGAGCCATCCCACCAGGTTTCTAACGTTTTACCGCTATTTTAGAACTGATAAATGAGGGATAGAAAGGCCGATAGTTCAGCTCAGGGAGAGGCTGAGGGCAAACATTGAGGGTAACCTGCAAAGAGCATTAAAAAACCTTTGCAAAGAGCAAAAAAATATATTAAAAATAAAGGGAAAGGGGATCTCTGCTTTACAGTGCCAGACGCTTCTGAGGACTAAGTGGTTGTACATGAAGCTAGGAAAAAATAAACTCCTGCATGTGAGAAGCATGAAAACTGTAGGTGTGACTAGAGGCTGCAGGCTCTGGTTTTTGCAGGTAACCCGGATAAAACCAGGGGCATGCAAGGTCCCTCACTCCATAACGTGACCGTGCACGTGTGTGCACACGGATAATTTAGCAGTATCTTCCAAACCCGTATTAGCTTCGGAGCAAACCCCCTTCCCGGCTGCATGAAGGGCTGTGTGCGCAGGACGGACCTGCTTACACCCCCACTACTGCAGTAACCACACACGGGTCTTGCTCCTGGAAATCCTAACGTTTCCAAAGCCAAAAATTTCTTCCCTCTTTGTAGAATATCAGCAACTTTGAACTTGCTGGGAAAATAACTGTTCTTCCCTCTTCCCAGGTACCAGATACTGCTTTAGCCAACACACGATGAAGATCACCGGGGAAAGCGTGTCCGTCACCAAGCGCTGCGTGTCCTTGGAGGACTGCCTGTCCGCGGGGTGCACATATGTAAGACACGAAGGATACAAGGTGAGAACAGAAATTACCTGTGGTTTGAGCAGAAGTTGGCAGAATTGGCTAAAGGTTTGACTTGTTCAGAGGGCCATCACATGTATGGGGTGAAAAATGAACCCGTAAGACAAACAGAGATTCTGCAAAAACAAAAGCCCCCAAGTAACTTTTTGCCTTCTTAGTCTTACGTACATTAGCAGTCTCATTGCTCTGAAACTCGTGTGTTCTGCTCGGATATTGGTAATAGATCCATTGATCCCTTCGGGAAAGCGCGGGGCACCGCAGGTCAGCTCCTCTACAGGGGGATGCTCTTGATAAATTGTTGTCTCAATTAATTAGGAAAAAAAAAAAAAGTGGCCATTGCTGATTTGTAGCATCACGTTTCCACCAAAGCCCTGTTTAACAGCACTGCTGTTTTCCCAAATAATAACCGAGTTAACACCTTCTCTCTTTCAGATCTGCACTTCCTGCTGCGAAGGAAGCATCTGCAATTTGCCACTGCCAAGGAACACAACGGACGCAGTGTTTACAACCCTGTCCCCCATAAACAAAACGCAGAGACTCTCAGGCCCTGCGGTGCTGACAACGGCCTGTCTCTTGTGGGCGTTTATGTCATAGCACTGGCTTGTGCTGCCACGTGTGTAGGGTCAGGAACTGGAGGAAAGCGTCTGCGTGAACACTCAACCTTTTCATACAGCCTCAGGACTTGCTTATTTTGGAAATCTCTTTGAAAAACTGATTTTCCTATATTTTGGTCAATGATGACCCAGTGACTTGTATGTAGCTGCAGCTGAAGGGATAAAACTGGAGTTTCTTCATCGTTTTCTCTAGCAACTCATGCAAAATTTGCTCACAATCTGTGGCTTAGACCAAGGCGTATGCTTTTCTTAACGTCTCTTTTCCCCATGAAAAACGTTTTATTTAAAAGTACTTTATCCCTGTCACTACTATTGTCATCTGTTCCCGTGACAGTTTCTTGTTGCAATAATTGGTTAGGACAATAACTCTGTTGTCTTGTTAACATGCAGTAAATAATGCAGACATTGCACCTTTGAAGGCCCCCAAATCTCCCCTTATCACCTTCTAGAAAAAAAAAAAAGAAGAAAAAGAGGGATTTATGGCAATCCCTTCTGCTTGCTAGAGGCAGCTACGTTGAGAGCTGCCCGTGTCAGCCTGCAGCAGCAGTGCCTGCCCAGCAGCTCCCTGCTCAGAGCTGCACTTCTATGTGGTCACATTTTGGCACCCAGTCCTGCAAGATGTCACTTTGGCCCCTGTCCAGCAAAGCATTTGAATTTCAAGTATAATTCTAAGCATGAATAATCCTGCCAAAGTCTTCAATGATGGAACCAGGCACAGTGCCCCGGGGCTGGACGTGCTCCTCCCAGCCATGTCCGGGTGTCAAATACAGGGAATGAATGGAAGGAGAGGGACCAGCCCGGCTCAGCTTTCCCAACAGGGAAATTAACAGTGGATTAATCCCAGTCGGATTTGTTTCCACACTAAGAAGCACAACTCACACAGAGTTCATATATTGCATATTCCCCTTGGCTTCAGTAGATACACGCACGCAGGATAAGTGAGGATATTAGGGATTTTAAACTGAAAAGGTTAAATTGAAATATATGGAAGCTGCTGACTGTCTGGATGAGGACTTGATGGCTACTGAATGTGGAACAAATTCCGAACAGCTTCTGTTACCTTCTTGAACACGCTCCTGTTACGTAGTAGGGGCTGTTACTATCTATGCACAGTCTGATGACTGGTATTTCTTATTTTGCTTGGAAATAATTTCTACAATATTTATTTTTGTATGTTGAGTAGGATCCGAAGTGTTTTTTTTAAATTTCTTAATACTGATACTGCCAAACAAAGTGGTTACTTTGCACGTGGATAAGCCTGTAATATATAAATTATCACATATATGTAATATTTTAATATTTAAAGAGAATCAACTTTGTTTTGCACGGTCAGTAATAAAACCAGGGTGTCCATGGACTGGTTTTACACCAAACATTTTTTTTAGGGATTTTTTTTAAAACGCAGCAGTTGTAAATTGTTTTTTTATGAGCTAGGCTTCGCTTAGTGGTTTTCCAAGGTAACTTGCACTTTATCGAGTTGCAGTGTGTGCTTATGCTCTGCAGTACAGGGGTTTCAATACACTGGAATAAGGGGAAAAAAGGAAGAAAATGCTGGAACGTGGAGGCTTTGCAGAGCCCTGTGCGTGTGAGCTGTGTGCTCGAGGCTTGGCCCGTGTCGCGCGCGCCGTTTGGCAGCAGAGCGCCCGCGTTCCTGCCCGCCGCGGGTGGTTACTGCAGCCGAGCTGCATTTTAGGGATTTGCATTTTGGATTCGGGGCCCTACCGTGAAACGCGTGCGTTCAAGGCCAGTAAATAAGCACAAGCAGCGGGAATTACCTCCTGGAATTACCTCTCAGTGAGGTTCCTGTGTCCTGGTTCCGCTCCCACCTTTCCCTGCACGTCCCCACGTATTAACATTAGTTAACAGAGGGATACTTTAACACGACTCACCAACTAACCTGTTCCTTGGAGCTAGATCGTGTAACCACGTGGATTAAGCTGCAGGAGGGGCCAGTTTTCCCGCAAAGGAAACCGATGTTTTCTTGCAGTAGCACTAACAGGACCAAGAGGTTTGGTACCTCCCGTCCCTGCAGCCGGGTGACACGTGGCCGGCCACGATCTTGGGGACAAGCCTTGGACCTGCCCGCGATTCCCTGCGCTCCGGAGCGGCCGCTCTGCCCGCGGATCCGCTTCTCTTTACGCATGGAAATCCCGAGCTGCGCCGTATTTATTTGTAGTCTTTATAGAATGGTATGTTTTCCTTTAAATGCCTAATTTTAAAAACGATTGTAAATGCTGTACATGTGTATAAATAAATGTTTTCAGTATTCAGCGGTGCAATGCGTCTGGGGACACGGCAGGTTGGTGCCAGAGCTGCTCTCCCAGGAGCTGCCGGCCTCGCATCCCGCTCGGCAACAAGCGACTCCTTCCCCTCGTCCCCTTCCATGGGACTCTGCATCTTGGGACAGTGGCTGAAAACCAAAACCACAGCCTTGGAGAGGGCCAGTCTTCCCGTCCCTTGCATTTCCTTAAGCATTAGTGCTACAAAAACCAGAGATTTGTGCAATAAAAGGCCAAGGGCGGCAGCAGGAAGTTTGGAACTGTTATTTTTTGACATTTTGCGTTTGATCCGTGGATCGTCCTTTGCTCTCGTTGCAGTTATTTCGAATTCACACTCCTGAGACTGAGACTTTTTTGGATTCAAGCAACTTAACGTGAGTAATGTGAGGATTCTAATGTTGTGCATAATGCAGAGAGGCTTAGCTCAAGGTGAGAAACAGAAGTTAAAGTTCTAAAAAGATACATAAATTGAAGACATAAAAGAAAATACCTGTAGTATGAGGTAATAGTGGAAAATCCTCTTCTCTTACACCTGGCACGTACAGAAGTGAAATGACTAGTTTTTCAATTTCTTTATTCCTTCAGTAGAGCAGTTTGTTCTTGCAAACCTGAAGCACAAGGTTTATTGACGGATTTTGGGACAGAAAGAAATCAGTAGTGCCTAGATAGTCATTAAGATCCTAAAATGCCATGAGAGCGTTTTTCTCCCCCGAGTTTACCCCAGCGCAGCCCTTGTCCTCGCGGCCCTGAGCGCTGCGGGAGGCCCCGCGTGGCACTTGCCACCGCTCTGCGTACGTCACCCCACGGGGACGTGATTTCAGGCCCACACTGTTGGCCTTCCCGGAGAGCCATGAGGGGTCATTGCAGTTTTTCCTGGGCTGAGACAATAACGAACGTGGATGATTTAAAATACCTGGTGCTCAGCCAAATCCCTGAGCCACATGTCACTCTCCTCACTGCCGAGGGGACTTTTACAACAAGATTAACACAGCAGTGAAGAGTCAAGGAACAAGTCAGCTATGTAGTTTTCTGACAAAACAGCCTCATTCACAAGCTGCATATGAAGAAGTCTGCTACTACCATCCAAACCCGCCGTGTTACGTTCTCCATCTCTCGCAATGGCCCATTTCCGACTCGGGAGATTTTGCCAGCAGGTTTTCCATCGAGATGCCAATAAAGTGCACATATTTTCATGCTTCCCAGTCCGGGGCAGTGGGTTAATTCTGATCCACGTGTTTAAAGCCAAGGCCATATTTACCTCATGCAGCTGGGGCCTGCTTCAGGCGTGTGGCCGTCCACGGGCCTCTTCTTGAGCGGGTCGGTTGCTTTGGTTAAACAAGCAGACAACTCCCCAGCGCTCTTTGTAGCTTGACAGAGATACCCTTGTTTTAAAACAACATGGCACTAGTTACAGCATGGATAACTGTACTGAAACTCATAGCATCATTTAGAGGGCTGAACCGTCCCCGAAGCTCAGGCCTAAGGACACATTTCCCCTCCTTAAAGCTGTCCCCGCTGCAGCTCTCGGCAGCTTCAGGAGCAGGGATTGCTCTCAGTGAAGCATGACATCCCGCTGCATGAAATTTCAGTCTCCTAATCCCGGCCGCTTTCCCTTGCAAGAATCCGCAGTGATTCAACCTTTGTATTTGTGCAATTCATGAAATAGTAGGCTAAAAAAAAAAAAAGGCTCTGCAGCTGCCAAGGTGACACATCATTCCTTTAGAAAAGCAGTTCTCGGAAGCCCCGAGCCGCGCTCGGCCTGCAGCTGCGACCCGGGGTCCCCAAGGTCTCCTGGGGTTGCAGGACCCTGTGTCACCCATGGGAAGCACCCGCTGCCCTTGGAAATCACGCAGGGAAGCCACGGGGCCAGCCAAGCGAATGCCAGACATGGAGGGTTGTCACAAACACAGGATTGAGGCGCTCCCCATGCCCTCGTGGGCCCTGCGGGCAGCACAAGGCCTCGCAGAGCTGGTGACCGGTTCCATCTGTTTTCGTTGCTACAGGGTTGCAGGAACATTCGTCCCGAGGGGGAGGAGGGCTGGCAGGGCCTGGTTTTACTGCTGGCATTTTGCTCGCTGACATTTCATCGACTTGGCGTTTCTGGGTGATCCCATGAGGAACCAGGTCACCTCCGGAGGCCCCGTCCAGGCGCAGGGACTCTGCAAGCAGCGACTCCGCGTCGGCCGCAGCGGAAAACCCGGCCGAGAGCGGCTGCAGGGAGGGGACACGTCCCCGCACGGGTACCAGAGCCTGGTCTGCTATTTCCATTCGCAGAAATCCCCGTATTTTGACTTTCATGTTGAGAAACGTTCTTGATCCGGTGCCAGTTCTCCTAAAGGAGATAATGTTACGTACAATCTCATCCACACGAGAGGTGATGGGGGAAGTAACTTGCATTACAAAGTGAAAGATACCTCAAAGAAACCACCTTTATAACAGGGAAAACATTTCTCGGTTCAAAAACAGATTTTTTTCGTCTTTGACATATATGCATACAAAGTTGTATATGAGCCAGACAGGCACACTAACACATCTAAGTACCACACACATTTATGCCCACCGTGTGTGCCATATACTGCATATATTTGGGTTCAGAAAGCAAAACAAAACATGGGACAGGACATCCTGAAGGAGAAAAACAAGTTGACCACAGATAGTTGTGGGATCTGCCCAGTCTTTAGT